GTGAGACATACATTTGTCCCACAGTTGGGTTTTTGTTTAGAAACACCGACAACGTTCGATTTCTCTTAAACGAGAAAGCCAATTTCTCGTACTTCAAGAAAAGATTGGAGGCCAAACTTGAACGAGGCCCGGTATCCCAGATATTTTATCAGAATCCAGTTTTTTTTGGAAACAACCAAGTAATTTTTTATAAGGTTGAAGTTCAAGATGACGAGGATCTCCAGAACATGATTTCCAGCCATGTCTATTCTGGATACGACTCTATTGAGTTGTACGTTTTGCTTCAAGAGCCTCCGGTGACACAGGAGGTAGAGCCTCCGGTGACACAGGAGGTTGATCCTTTGGAGAATGAACAAGATGAGGTAGATGCAATTGATGATGAAGAAGAAGATAACGAGTTAGAGTTTGATGAAATGGTGAACGATGATTCTGACGATGATGGCATCCCAAGTATTCCTACAGACAAAATCTACACACCACCTCCGCACATGAAAAACTTCAACATGGGCGGAGATGAACCTTCTACTGACTTATTTTTCAAATCGTATATGCAGTCGGATGAAAATTTAAAAGAGAAGGACAAGTTTCGTAACAGAGAGGAATGCATCAGGGCCATTAAAAAATTTCACATGCTTAACTCGGTTGATTTTAAGGTGGATCGTGTCAACCCGGAAAGGTACAAGATCAAGTGTGTCCACCCTGACTGTATGTTCAAGCTGACCGCATCATACAGATTAAGGGGTGACTGCTGGGTCATAGGTTCCATGACTACCCACACTTGTGTAAGTTCCACTCAATCACAGGACCACCGAAAACTCAACCATAATCTAATCTGTCAAGAAATCCTACCCCTGGTCAGCAACGACCCATCTTTGAAGGTGAAAACAATCATCTCCCACATCACCGCAGTTTTTAACTACACTCCGTCTTACTGTAAGGCGTGGTTAGCAAAGACTAAGGCGATTGAAAGGGTGTACGGAAACTGGGAGGAGTCATACCGAGAACTTCCCCGCTACCTGAATTCACTCAAGACATATTCTCCAGGTAGTGTTTATGTTCTGGAAACATTGCCAGCGTACGCCCAAGATGGTAGTCTACTGCATGGCAACGGAATATTCAGTTGCGTGTTTTGGGCATTTCAACCATGCATCACAGGGTTTGCATCATGCAAACCAATTCTACAAATTGACGGGACTTGGTTGTATGGGAAGTACAAAGGCACGCTATTGATGGCAGTTGCACAAGATGGCAACAACAACATTTCCCCCGTTGCGTTTGCCCTTGTCGAGGGAGAGACCGATGGTGCTTGGAGCTTTTTCCTGAAAAATCTTCGGACACACGTGGCTCCTCAACCAGATCTCTGTTTGATCTCGGACAAACATGCCTCCATTCAAAGTGCCTACAATAATCCATCAAATGGTTGGCATGACCCTCCTTCTACGCATGTCTATTGCGTCAGGCATATCGTCCAGAATTTCTCGAGGGAGGTCAAAGACAAAACATTGAGGAAAGCGGTTATGAATGCGGGATATGCATTGACACAACCCACATTCAAATATTACCGCAACGAGATCCGTTTGTCTAATCCAGAAGCCGGTACGTGGATCGACAATATTCCGGTCGAAAAGTGGACTAGGTCATACGACAATGGCCAAAGATGGGGGCATATGACAACGAATCTTATTGAATCAATGAATGGGGTATTCAAGGGCATACGAAACCTACCAATCACTGCCTTGGTAAAATCCACGTATTTTAGGATGGCTGCGTTATTTGCCAAAAGAGGTGAAATGTGGTATGCGGTGTTGCAATCAGGACAACTATGGAGTGAAAGCTGCATGAAATACATTAAGGCTGAAAGTGCTAAAGCCAACACTCACATGGTTACACGGTTTGACCGACACAGCCACAACTTCATTGTGAAAGAGACAATCGACCACAATGAAGGCCTGCCAAGACAAGAATACAGGGTCATTTTACCTTCTCAATGGTGCGATTGTGGCAGGTTTCAAGCATTTCGTATGCCTTGCTCTCATGTCATTGCCGCTTGTTCTCATACCCATCAAGACGCGCTTCAACTGCTGTCAAACGTTTACAAATCTGAAACGTTGCTCACTGTTTACAATAACAACTTTCCTTTGGTGGCAAAACCGGATTATTGGCCTGAATACAACAGCGATATAGTTTGGCACAATGACCAAATGCGAAGGAACAAGAAGGGTCGTCCCAAAAGTAGGCGCATCACAACAGAAATGGACGATCTTGATAGGTTGGAAAGAAAGTGTGGTTTATGCCGTCAGGTCGGACACAATCGCAAAAACTGTCCGAATCGGGCGTCTGGCTCGACCACATAAATATTGTAATACAATAAATCTTTTCAATATTTGTGTTGTAAACATTAGGGTTTTCCGTTAACAGATTTTGCTACAATTAATAAAACGCGTACAACAATGATTAACGATATTCAATCTAGGAAATTACAACTGTTAACACAATTTCATCTGACCCATGCATCATCAGCATTACATCACTGTCTGTTTTGACTTCCTCCAACCACACATTAGGTCTTCCTGTCGCATGCGAGGTTGTTGTTCGTTTTCGCTGGATCCTTCAAATTTTTTCCCCCTCCGCGATGTCTCCATCTAGCCACCGCATCAACTTCCGCTTCAGACGCTCCATAGAGTGAATGTGCCAGAATTTCATTTTCATCGCAGGTTTCATGGCGGAGAATATAACGTAACCATCTCTGCTAAAAATCATAGGCGACGTCATTACGCAAATAACGGAGTACAAAATAAAAATACAGTGCGAGAAAGTATGAGAAATTTCGAAGAAACAGACGAATTATTTATAAAACAGCATTTTGCCCTAGTTTTGCCCTAGGAGCCAAGTGAGATGGCGCCTCCTCTCATTTTTAAGGAGCATGCGCCATCTCACTTGGCTAAAAGCCAAGGGAGGCGCCAAGTGAGATGGCGCCTAGGGCAAAACCCTAGGTGCATGCGCCAATTGAGATGGCTCCTCCTTTGTGGAGCCATCTGAAACATAGTTATTTGCGTAATTTTTTCCAAAACCCGGTTATTTGCGAAATATTTTTTTAATACATGGTTATTAATAAAAAAAATTCAATGAAATGCACCCTCTGCGTTTTTTTATTAAATTTTTTTATTATTTTTATTATTTATAATTATTATTTTTATAATTTAATATATTTATAAATTCTAAAATTATTTTACTATTATTATAAAAAAATCAAATACTTATTTTCTAATTCATCCAAATATTTTTATTGCATTAAGATTATTTTTGCCATGAATTAAAAGGATTTTTTATATATTAATATATTTAAAAAAATACCAAACCAACACCAAATCCTTTTTTTAATAACTTGATTAGTTTTAAAATAATTTTCAAAAAGAATTACGAAAATGTTTTTAATCAACTGCGAACTTCGTCTAACAACTCAATTATTCACAGACCTGGACTTAGTACAAGAGAAATTCAAAACATCTTCGTAATCCATAAAAAACACCAAGCAACTACGAACTACGAATTGAGACTCTGATTCCTCATAAGATGATACGTAGGCATACGACTAAAATCGTGGCGAGTTATCCTAATAAAAAATTAAAACCCTATTTCCTAAGCCGTAATTCTAAACCCTGGTATCCTTATGAAAAAGGTAGATGATGGGTGCCTAACACCTTTCATTCATCTAAAATGAGTCCAAGCAACTCGGAATCTCTCACCAAATTAGGGTTATCCTTTATATTCTCTTCCTAAAGATAAAAGTTAAGGGTGACGACTCTCATTTTCAAGCCAGTTATTACAATGATTCGAGTCATCATTTCAACATAATTTGAGTCACAAGATTTGAAAATTTTGAGATTTGGCGTTATGAAGATTAACTCGAGTCATAATTAAAATGTGATTCAAATCACATCGCATTATTTTGAAATTTCTCAAAGCATGATTCAAATGACACGCAAAACATGATTCGAATCATGAAACCAAAAGTCATGCGTTTTGTAACCGTTGAGTATCATTATTTCTTTTCTACCTAATTTCATTTCAAATTTTCATAACTTCCTCTCATATCTTTATAACCCATTTTGAAACCATTTTCATCATTCATTAATCATCATCTCATTCATTCGTCATCAATCATCACCACATATCATCAAACACATTTATCTAACCTTCATCACTATGAGTTCAAGTCTTCCACAAAAGAACTTATATGAGAAATAAGAGGGTAAGAGGCAAGTATCTTTATCAAGTCCTACACTTCCTCCAATTCTAAAGAAAACAAGAAATAACGTTTACACTAGCAAAGATTCACCTAATGAAAGAGTTCAGAAAAAGTAAAAATCAAGTAATGTTCAATAAGGCTCCAGTCGAGATTTCTCCTTGATCAGCAAGAAGGTTTGTGATTTGGTTTCTGAAGATAAAAAAAGGTATGTGAACGAGTTTTGAAACAAACTATAGAGTCTGGATATTTTGTGAACCAGGTGTTTGAGACAAAGTTAGGCATGAAATTTCTGGCTCCATTAGAGAAACATAAGTTTTTGAAATTTCAGAGTTTGAACAAGAAGTTTGACCCTGACCTGATTATAGCTTTTTATTGTAACCTGGTTGTAACTACTAATGGATTAGAATGTCATTTTTGCAGCAAGCTAATAAAATTCACTTTGAAGGATTTCGATACTCATTTTAGATTATGGCCAAAAGGAGATGCAATATGTATTACCTCTGCTCCTGATTTTGCTAAAATTGATTCGGTCAAGAGTATTTCCAAGTCGGTTTTTGGTGACAACTTGGATATGGCGAATTTCAACATTAGCCAAATGAAACTTGAAATGATAATACTTCACTGGATTATTGTTAATCTATTGTACATGAATCCTCTTCATTGGGCGAGTACTGATGACTATGACCTCTATCTCATGTGGGTCTTTATAAGGGATCTTCGTTATAATTGAATGCAATTTATTCTTCAGAGAATGGAGCATTGCAATAATTTTCCGAAGACGTCTTTATTCTTTTCCTCCTTTATTCAATTCTTATTAGAATTGAGTGGTATCACATCTACTGATGCAAGATTGGTTAAGGCACTAGAGCTTGTTGATACAACTGCTATCAGTTTGATGTGCTACTATAAGGATAAGAATAAGGAGTACTACTTCTTACAAACTGATGGTAGATGGATTTATGAGGATAAAATTATGAAGAAGAAGAAGGCATCATGTTTATTTTAAAAGTCTAGTTCACTATATACAACTTTACTTTCTAATGACATGAAAACGTACTTTGATGATTGGTTTAGATAGCTCATGAAGATTGGCTAATAGGCCATATTGAAGCCGTAGAAAAGGAAGCAGAAGAAGGAAGAGAGAAGATGAAAGAAGAGATCAAAGCTGAATTGAAAGCAAATGAAGTGTAAGTCATGGCTGAAGTGGATATCTTGAAAAGTGCCATTGAATACCTTCGCAATTCTACTTTTGTTTTAAACATTGATCATGTCCTACAACCGATTTACCGTGATTTACCCCTTTCATGCATTCCATAACATGACATTCGTATTATTTTAATTATTATATTATTGATGCTATTTTGAATGTAGTTTGTCATTATATTTTGTTATGTATCTTGTGGCAAGTTTTTGGCCATGTTTTCTTGGTATCTCTATATGATTTTTCTATGATATCTTTATCTTGATTATTTTCTGAAACCATGTTATTTGCGATAATTTTTATCATATGTGATTTATGTGGTGTCTGTTTAGTTTGTTGCGTGACATTTCTATTTTTGGCTTTTATGTTATCATGGATTTAGTATTTGCGTTTTTTATCTTTCTCTTTTTGATATTTGTCAAAGGGGGATAAGTTATCGATGTATTATTGATATTCACGTGCATTAAGTGCTTAATGCAGGGGTAGCATTAGATCTCAATGAATATGTTTTACGTTCATCTATAGCATGCTAAGGAAATTCACTAGATTAAATTTTTCTTCAAATTCCAAATAAATGCTCAAATCAATTGACCAACAAAATATCTCCAAATATGCCAAACATCAAAAAGGGGGAGGCTGCAATTGCAGTTACATTATCATATGGTATCGTTTTTTAGATTTGATATTTTTGTCAATTTGCTTTTATGTATTATTTGATTATTCATGTGTTTGTAATTTGTTCATTGTTTTAGTATTCGCGTGTTTGTAATCATCCGCATTTGAATTGTATTATGTTTGCTTTGATTATTTAGTTTCTACCATTAAGACCCCTCATTATTCAATAAACTAGAAGTGTTGATCCATGATAATATTCCTTTTTTATCCTAACAGATGAGTTTTTGTCGTTTAATCAAGAGTTACTTGAGCCACAAGTTAGAACCCTTAAATCAAGATTCCTAGTAATTTGATTGAAATCATGTATAACGTGTGACTCAAATCATGCTTATTGTGAAAATTGGATTTTTCCTATAGATGATTTGATTTGAGTCATGCTTTGAACCTAACTTGAATCATAGCTCTCCATGAAATCTAGAATTAGGCTCTTCTTGATTTGACTCGAATTATGAAGTAAACTTGTCTCGAGTCACAACACCATTTGACTCGAATCATGATTACTACTTGACTTGAATCATAGCTTCACAAATTGAATTTTCCACCTTAAATTTAAATAGTTGTTTCTTTTGATCCAAAAGCAATAAGAATTGAGACATGATTCATGAAGAAGTTATTTTGAGTGTGATTCTTTTTCATGATGAAATAATGCGTGACTCGAATCATGCTTATTGTGAAAATTGGATTTTGCCTATGGATGATTTGATTTGAGTCATGCTTTGAACCTGACTTGAATCATAGTTCTCTATGAAAGCTAAAATTAGGTTCTTCTTAATTTGACTCGAATCATGAAGTGAACTTGACTCAAATCAGAACACCATTTGACTCGAATCATGATTACTACTTGACTTGAATCATAACTTCACAAATTGAATTTTTCACCTTAGATTTAAATATTTGTTTATTTTGATTCAAAAGCAATAAGAATTGAGACATGATTCATGAAGAAGTAATTTTGAGTGTGATTCTTTTTCATGATGAAATCTCAAAGTGAAACCCTAAGACAAAAAATGTCAATTTATCTTTTCTTCTCTAGTGTGTCTATTCCTAACACATTTGAATCCTTCTTTTGTTTTCAAGAACTAATTCTTTGGTGTTAATCCATGTCAGATTGCATCTCCTTTTTTGATACATCTTGTTCTTGTGTAATTGGTTTTTGTTTGAAGGAAACTAGAGAGAGTGATTTTGATCAATGTTATAGTGATTCATGTTTGATCAAGTTCATGATTACCATTAAGATCCAAGATCCATTTACACAGAAATTTGAGAGAACCTTGGGTGTGTTCTTTATTCACCAACACTTAATTACTTGATTAATACCTTATGAATAAAAGTATGTGTGTGTGTGCGAAAAATTCCTTCGGCACTATTTGTCATCTTCAACCTTAGTCATTTTCTATTATTGTGGACCTTCATCTCTAAAGATAGAGTATTTGAGGGAGACAAGTGGTACATTATGGTATCTAATATTTTTGTGTGAAGTTTGTTGTTTGTACAGGCGTAAATATCATTTATTGAATGCAGTTTGGTTTTTATTGGTATCTATTTATAAAAGAGTTTTACTATACTCCATGGAAGACTTTGGCAAAGTTGAGTATAGATTGCTCTTAAGTCAGAGTTGGTACTTGTCCAATTTTGGTGAGATCGTGTAAAGACTGTTCGTAGACAAAGTTGGGAGTTATCCAATTAACGCTCAGCTAATGGCAATCACCCATATAAGAAACCAGTGGGATCAAGGTGGATAGCCACATACGAATACTTGGAGCAGATTATTGTGGATAGCAAGGTTATTGGATCAAGATCTCTGGGGATCTTGTTTTGTTAGCAATTTGAGTGTCTGCATCAATAGAGAGAACTATCGTGTGATATTTCATTGTAAACAAAATGCTTGTATCAAACTTATCAAAATAGTATAAGACCGTGATTATTTCCTGATGGTTCTTTAACACCATTGAAGAGTGGAGTAGGCAAAGCGAGGATGAACCCTATACCATTATATATATATATATATATATATATATATATATATATATATATATATATATATATATATATATATATATATATATATATATATATATATATATATATATATATATATATATATATATATATCCCAGAATATTGCATTAACGCTGATGTATGAACTCAGATAAATAACAATGTACGAGATCATCCCTAAAGAGACCGAAGTCAACTACTTTGTTAGGCCCAGTCGAATATGAGCTCGGTATAATACCACCGTTCTACAGGAAATCGATTCTGAGAAGAGTAAGAGGTGTAACCGTAACCTAATGATAAGACATATGATTACGGGCGTTACAAGTATTAATGGACGGTTGCATCATTATATTCATTAATTGTGGCTATTCAATAAGGGTTAAAACCTATACTATATATAGGTAGGAAGATCAAAGGAAAAGGGATCTCTCTATCTCTCTCCCTACGAACTCTCTGCGACAACAATCGAGAGAGACACTACACATCATATCTAGGGGTTCATGCAAGAGGGATAAACTAGACATCATTCTTGGATCAATACCTATTACTATGATAGCACCCAAATCCCCAATCATCTTACAATCCACTTTCGAAATTCTCATCATCTTAAAATGGAGGAACTGACCGAAAATTTATTCTACACAAAAACATTTGAACCCACCATAAAGCCTCATAAAATTATTCCTAAACGACACCTCAAACCACATTCAACAAAATGTCATCCCCAAGGAACAACATGTATGGAATGCAATATGATTTCATATGCCTGCCAACTACAATTTACAATCACACAAATACAAGAAGTAGTTCAAAGACTACAACTGTAACTTTGACAGTCTTAACATAAATGTTAAGATGCAACCATGAGAACCATTAACAACTCAGTTTGAGACCTGCTGTCCGGGAATCCGATCGGAGTGCCCAGATCGACAAAGAATTCCGGCGGTTGGAGGCTGAAGGACTCACGCCATCGGCTTGGATGTTATGCGAATCAGAAAACGACGACGTCTTCATCGTCGTCGGAGCGGTGAACACTGAAGAAATCTCGTTTAAGCTCTTCTTCGGGTTGTCATTGGGGCTCCGCATGTTTCGAGATCCTCAATTAAATCGACAGCTGAATCTGTGACTCGGGAAAGGCTACTCACTCCAAATTGGGGATGGATCCCGTCGGCGTCCTCTCAGCACTGTCGGTGGCTATTAGTGGTTGTGATGAGGACGGGGCTTAAAATTCGAGTCCTAAACAACACACGCTGATGCCACCAGTGGAGGCCGCGATCGATTTCGGAAGGTCATGGCCGATTACGCAGCTCCAGGTCCATGTTCGGATGTAATCACAAAACCCTTTCCTGAGAGGATCATGTACATCTGATTATTATCAAAAATAAAAAAGAACGAACTCGATGGAGGTGATTCTGGGCAACACAATATCGATTGCAAGAAAATTCTGATGCTGACGTCTGAGTTGCACCCCAGGTGCTTGATGAAAAGCACGAGTTATAGCATGCTTTTATGTTCCGCGTCTCGCGTTAAAAATTTATCATGAATGACGCAAAGCACCGACATGGTATCGAAGCCAAGTCATCATGCCCGATGCAACAACAAGGAATACTTCCAAAGATAAGTTATTTTACACACTCTATTGATCGGCCACGCTTAGCGATAGTATGTTCATAGTAATAACAGTTACAATTATCATGAATGTTATGACCTGTAAGTTGATTATCATTTACAGCAAATAAATTCATTATGACCTTTAATCGCCTAGTTCATAATTGCCTGCAAATTTATTTCGCTAGGGTTGAGTTTGCAACAGGATTGAATGTGAGAAACTAATGAGGGGCGTACGATTATGCTGCTTGTTAATTCGTAGATATCATAGAGGCAGAAAAGAATTTAAACTTAGCAACGTACTCAGAAGCTTGCTTAGCCGAAGGCGGAAAAGTGCGACAAACAACAACTTCACTAAGGGCTATCACTACAGCACTATTGAAGTACTAGTACCAGAGTAATGCAAACTTGCCAAAGGTTATCTCATCAAGATAGTGTCGGCGAATCTTACATTCAGACCAAGGAGGAAATACCGGATTGGGAAGCTGTCTTGAAAAGTCCAAAAATGTCGAAATAGTATCAAGGCGATGTTATTACATCCAATTTAACACACAGATGGAAAGCAGCCTGCGATGCAGTACCAACACTATCAACATATAGAAGGAGTGCTGGCATACCCAATAAAAGATAAGTCAAGCAGCTTCTTTCTAAATTCTTGTGGTTCACATGTGCATATTGTAGATGTAGAATGAAGCATGAAATTAGATATGGGTTATCTGTTATGTTATCGAAAGTATGAAATTGCTATACATGCTTATCATGTTAGAATTGCCATTTGAAAGTCTCTGATTAATAGTTTTACATGCGTACTGCTAGTCGCTCATATGAAAGTCTGACATAACAAATGGATTTATTTGAACATTATCGTCTGTGTTTTCGTTCTGGTGTCATAAATTTGTGGGGACTACAAATTACTAGCTTAAATAAAAGAGGCTTAGAATAGCTAAAAGAACTGGAATAGTGAATTCTGATATAACATAACGTTATATTTATTTCCTATCTATGCTAACTCATTGTCATCTAAAAGCGTTACACTGCTATAGAGAGCTCGTCATTAGTCGGTACGTGTAGCGGTTACATATTATCTCATCATTTTCTATTAGGGACATATTGAAAGTGTTTCATTATACATCATATTTTATGGTAAAGGTTGCATAGAGGTTTTTTGATCTATGAATGCTTTTATGTGTAACGGTTCTATCACCTTTATCCGTATTATGCTTGTCTGAACGACTAACTTTGCGCCTTAATTTGTTATTTTCATGGCCCGACGAGCTAAACGGCAAAACAAACTCACTTTCAACATGATGTCACATGCGTTCGTTGGCACAAATGATACATGCATTTCAAGTACTGAAATTAAGGAGCTGAAGAAAGCAATTGCTGAAGAAAGCAATTTGGATGATCTCTAAGGAGGTATAAAGCTTGAACGAAGATATTACTCAGACGACAAGGCTTGAGTCCTCAAAGCTCCCCGAACCATTGTACTCACAAACGTGCCTATGATAATCGGATCATAAACCAATAGGCCAGGCAATACAAATTTACTATATAAATACTTTTATTGTTAGAGAAGGTGAGTAACAATCTATGTCGATTGTAATCCTTTTTTAAAGGGAACTCTTAGAATTTATTTTAAAGTCATAGGTGTCGTCCTTATCTCCTGCAAGGGAGGGAGTCACCATATCTTTTGTAAGCTTTTAAATAAGTAGGAGGAACTCGGAACGCAGGAAGATCTTCTATTGAAGAAACTAAACTATCAAGCAGGTTCGCAGACAAAACACCGAGAAGTAGAGTCCTCCTTAGTTAAGATAGTCCTGAGTTAAAGTGTTTTCATCTTGTTCCCACAAGCCCTCACGCTTGGGGGGATTATATAGACATCCCAGTTAAGCGTAGACAGCCGGTTATAAGTTAGTAAAACTGAGCAAAGCACAAATTTATACTTTAACTAATTAGTATTGTTGTATAAGGCGAGCTATTGCCTCTGCCGCTTGTAAAACAGCTCATCTAGGTTTACTAGAAGAAATAAAAGGTGTCGTCCTTCTCCTCTGTGTAGGCGGGAGACACCATACTCTCATTAGTCTCAAAATTAGGTGGGATTCGAGCAAAATGTAAAAAATCTGTAATCGATTATGGTTGGGTAGTGTAAGTATAAACACTCGACCTAAAAACTCGGTCACCCTCGCCAAGGCTCTGGACCTATTCGGCCACCCTTACAAGGGCCTCTGATTCGACAAAAAGTCGAAGCGCACTTAACGTCTCTCGCAAACTCGGTCACCCTCGCTAAGGCTCTGGACCTACTCGGCCACCCTTACAAGGGGCTCTGATCCGACAAAAAGTCAAAGTATATTTAACGGCTCTCGTAAACTCAGTCACCCTCGTCAAGGCTCTGGACCTACTCGGCCACCCTTACATGGGGCTATGATCCGACAAAAAGTCGAAGCGCACTTAATGCCTCTCGCAAACTCAGTCACCTTCGCCAAGGCTCTAGTCCTACTCAGCCACCCTTACAAGGGGCTCTGATCCGGGAAAAAATCGAAGCGCACTTAACGCCTCTTGCAAACTCGACCACCCTTACAAGAGGCTTCGACCCGACCAAAAATCCAAGCGTACTTTAAGCCTCCAGGCCTCCGTTCGCACCCGCTAAACACTTCCCTCATCAGGCTCGAGTTCTACAACTAACTCCCCTCATCAGGATCGAGTTCTACAACTAACTCTCTTCATCAAGGTCGAGTTCTACAACTAACTCCTTTCATCATGGTCGAGTTCTACAACTAACTCCCCTCATCTGGATCGAGTCCTACAACACTCCCCTCATTAGGGTCGAGTTCTACAACTAACTCCCCTCATCAGGGTCGAGTTCTACAACTAGCTCCCCTCATTAGGGTGAAGTCCTACAACACTCTCCTCATCAGGGTCGAGTTCTATAACTAACACCCCACATCAGGGTCGAGTTCTACAACTAACTCCCCTCATCAGGGTCGAGTTCTACAACTAACTCCTCTCATCATGGTCGAGTTCTACAGCTAACTCCCCTCACCAGGGTCGAGTTCTACAACACTTTCCTCATTAGAGTCGAGTTCTACAACTAACTCCTCTGATCAGGGTCGAGTTCTATCATTATACACTCCTCGCCATAAGGGTCAAGTTCCATTATATAACATTCCCCGCCATAAGGGTCAAGTTCTATTATTAAAAGCTCCTCGTACGAAGACGAGCGAATCTTAAAATAGACCACAAGGACTTATTATAAGAAATACAAAAAGGCACGAAAGTAGTTAGGGCTTTTTATAAAACCCGATGCTACATGATCGAACATATACAATCCGATGGACTTTATGTCTGAGGGGCTTATATATACACCAAATTATCTTATAAGCTAAAAATGCAAGCAGAAAACTACAGAAAGCTAAAGATGAAAATAAGAGCAAGATGACAAATACGATTATAAAAGCCACAAAGAGCGGTTCGAAATACAAAACCCGCAGGCAAAAGTCATAATCACACGCTTTAGGGCCTCTGTCTGCCACTAATGACACTCTCCATATAAGAGTTGAGTACTATAAAAACACTCCTCGTTTAAAACTTGAGTTCTACAAAACTCCTCATCAAAAGAGTTAAATGCATCACTAGAGTGGAATCAAGGCCCATCTGGTCAAGAAACAATACCTACCTTAAATAGAAAATAGTATTCTTAACCGGACGGATAAATCTCACCGTGGTAACCGCCATACTCAACAAGTTTGCTAGGGGCTCATTAGCCCGTAAATAAACAAATGAATGATGACCCAACCTCATATAGGCTTGGGGCTCTTATAAGAGACACCGTGGCTGATTTCATAAAAACAACCGAAGGTGATATAAAGCCGGATACATAGCTCAGAGATGTTTACTATCCAGGAAGCCTTTTTCATATATATATATATATCAAAGATAAACTCAAGTCTACAACCCGCATGAGCTATAAAGTGTTTGGAAATCCCAAACAACAATTATAAAAGTCGTTGGAGCTCATTAGACCAAAAGCTATGGATAAAAAGACGGACGCCCGACCTCAAAATAGGCTTGAGGCTCTTAAAAACAAAATAAATACCATTATTGATTCCATAAATCAGCCAAAGGTAATGTAAAATCGGGTACCTTATACCCAAATATTTACCTTCGTAGACTTCGTACGCGGGAGACCCTGCTTGGAAATAGATCACATCGCAAGTGTTGAGGCACTAATAAATGACAAAAAAGCAAAAACCAATAATTAGAAGACAATCTCTCTCGGTTACGTTGCAACCCGGACAAAATACTTCACTTCAGTGAACTGTATGCCCGGAAGGCTCCACGTATATCTTGTGAACTTTGTGCCCAGGGGGCTTAATGTTTACACTTGGGATATTTTATCTAGGCCGGGATATGAACTCGATTAAACACTAAGGGGCTCTATACACCTATTAAAAATCCTCTCTGGGTTAAAACGAAGACCCTGGTCCAATCGACTCAAAAGTCGGGATAAACAAACATTAACTTCACTACTTTTGTGATACTACCAAAAATAGTCTAATCAGTGACTGGCCAAACAGTCCAAAAGTATGAAACATCCTACAAAAAAGTTGGATATAGACCTCGGTAAGAATAAGTGTAAAACGGAGTAATCAGGCCCTTTATCTATACTAAAGTCGTGTGGGCTATATCTCCGACATGAGCATAATGCATACCTAAAAGGTACTAAACTCAAATAAGCATAAGCACAATACGATAGAGAGAAATTATCCAATATGAAAGAGTTTACATAGGCCGTGATAAATTAAAAAACACTTTGCCCTTGCAGACCCAGTGCCCTTACAGACCTCGTGCTTTTGGGGCTTATGTACATCCTAGAATATTTGCATTAAGCTCGAGGTATAAACTCGGATAAATAACGATGTACGAGATTATCCCTAAATAGACCGGATCCGACTATTTAGTTAGGCCCAGTCGGGTATGAGCTTGACACAATACCGTCGATGTACAAGAAGTCGGTCCCGAGGAGGGAAAGAGGTGTAATTCTAACTTAATGATAAGACATGTGGTTACAAGGGTTACAAAGCCATTAAAGGGAGGTTACAAGCGTTACAAGTATTAATGGACGGCTACATCATTATGGTCATCAATTGTGGCTATTCAATAAGGGTTAACAACTATACTATATATAGGCCTGAAGATCAAAGGCACAGGACCCCTCTCTCTCTCACTACGAACTCTCTGCGACGACAGTCCAGAGAGACACTACACATCATACATAGGGGCTTTCGCAAGAGGGATAATCTAGACATCATTCTTGAGTCAATACCTACCACTACGGTAGCACCCGAATCCCCAATCATCCTACAACCCACTTTCAGGGTTCTCATCACCTTCAAAGAAGAGA